AGATTCCTCCTCAGCCCTTTCCCCTCCAAATTCCCAATTCTCAGATTCCTCCTCAGCCCCTCCCAAATTCCCAATTCCCAGATTCCTCCTCAGCCTTTTTGCCCCTTGAATCTGCCCTTTAATCCCTCCCAAATTTCCAATTCCCAGATTTGTCCTCAGCCCTTTTCCCCCCTCAATCTCCCCAAATTCCCAATTCCCAGACTTCTCCTCAGCCCTTTCCCCACCAAATTTGCCCCTCAATCTCTCCCAAATTCCCAATTTCCAGATTCCTCCTCAGCCCTTTCCCCCCCAAATCTGCCCCTCAATCTCTCCCAAATTCCCAATTTCCAGATTCCTCCTCAGCCCTTTCCTCCCCAAATCTGCCCCTCAGAGACACCCCAATCCCAACCCCCAAACAACAGCGACCCCAATTCCCAACCCCTGGAGCTCCCCAGGCCTTTCACCCCCTAAATTTGCTCCACAGCCCCTCCCAAACTGGCACTTCCCAGCACTTTTCACCCCAAAACATCCTCCTAGACCCCTCCCAAATTACCCTAATTCCCAACCCCAGAGCCCTGTGATGTTTCTGAAGGCCACCAAAGCCACTAAGCTGGCCCAATGTCACAGGATGACCCCTGGGAGCCCTTCCTTCCTCCCAGTTTGTCACTTCCCAGCACTTTTCACCCCCAAACATCCCCTTAACCCCTCCCAAATTACCCTAATTCCCAACCCCAGAGCTCTGTGATGCTTCTGAAGGCCACCAAGCTGGGCCAGTGTCACCAGATGACCCCCAGGAGCCCTTCCTTCCTTCCTCCCGAGGAAAAACCAGGAAATTCCAGCCTCCACGGGGGGTTCCCTGAGTGCCCACCCCAATCCTGCACCCCAACCCCCCCCCTGGAGCTGGCACAAGCTCCGGGAGCATTGGCTGGAAAGGCAATTCCTAATTAATTTCATTAGTCCTGCCAAGAAAACTGATGGTTTCCTGCTCGAGAAATGGTGTTTTTTCCCGGCAGAGCCGTTCCCTGTTTTCCGCCGGGTGCCAGGGTGAGGGAGGGCAGGGCGGCTCTGGGGCTCCTCTTATCTCCTGCCCACAGTCCTCGGCTCATTTTTGGGGGAGCCGAGGCAGGGAGAAAGGAGAAAAGTCACCCCCTGGGCACCTCCTCACCCTGTCCGAGTGGCCATCCCTGAATTATTTCGTGGCCACTTCAGAGCTGCAGTTGCCACCTCAGAACCCCCCAAAAAATCAGAGGAGCATCGTGAGAAACTCATCATGGGCAACTGTATCCCCGTGGTGAGTGAGCCCCCCAAAATTCCTGTCCCATCCCCGGGGAGGGAGGGGAGGGCTGGGGGTCCTCGGTGGGAGGGAATCCCCAGTGGGATTTAGGGGAGTTGGGTGGGGTTTTTGGGGATCCCTGGTGCTGATTCCACAGGAATCTCCAGTGCTCAGGTTTAGGGGGATTTATGGGCTCCCTGGTGCTGATTCCACAGGAATCCCCAGGGTTTAGTGGGGTTTTGGGGGATTTAGGGGATCCCTGGTGCCGATTGCATGGGAATCCCCAGGGTTTAGTGGGGTTTTGGGGGATTTAGGGGATCCCTGGTGCCGATTCCATGGGAATCCCCAGTGCTCAGTGGAGTTTAGGGGGATTTAGGGGATCCCTGGTGCTGATCCCATGGGAATCCCCTGGGCTCGGTGGGGTTTAGGGGAGTTTTGGGGATCCCTGGTGCTGATTCCGTGGGAATCCCCAGGGCTCAGTGGGGTGTAGGGGAGTTTTGGGGATCCCTGGTGCTGATTCCATGGGAATCCCCAGGGCTCAGTGGGGTCTAGGGGAATTTTGGGGATCCCTGGTGCTGATTCCACAGGAATTCCCAGGGCTCAGTGAGGTTTAGGGGGATTTAGGGGATCCCTGGTGCTGATTCCACAGGAATCCCCAGGGCTCAGTGGGGTTTAGGGGAGTTTTGGGGATCCCTGGTGCTGATTCCATGGGAATCCCCAGGGCTCAGTGAGGTTTAGGGGGATTTAGGGGATCCCTGGTGCTGATCCCATGGGAATCCCCTGGGCTCAGTGGGGTTTAGGGGAGTTTTGGGGATCCCTGGTGCTGATCCCACGGGAATCCCCAGGGCTCAGTGGGGTTTAGGCGGGTTTTGGGGTTTAGGAGTCCCCAGCACCGAGCAGAGCCATGAGGGTCCCCTGTTCTGAGCAGGATCTTGGGGTCCCCAATTCTGAGCAGGCTCATGGGGGGTCCCCAATTCTGAGCAGGATCATGGGGGGTCCCCAATTCTGAGCAGGATCATGGGGGTCCCCAGCACTGAGCAGAGCCATGAGGGTCCCCAATTCTGAGCAGGCTCATGGGGGGTCCCCAATTCTGAGCAGGATCATGGGGGTCCCCAGCACCGAGCAGGCTGATGGGGGGGTCCGTGTCCCCACACCCCCATCCTCCCCGTGTCCCCGCTGTGAGCAAACGTGCCCGTCCCGCAGCCCAGCCGTGCCCACCGTGTGTCCCTCCCTGATAACCCACCCTGCCCTGCCCTGCCCTGCCCGGCTGGGTGATCCCAGGGCGATGTGGCACCTTCCCCATGCCCATCCCCTTCACCCGCAGACCCCCGGCATCCTGGAGACCCCCGGCACGCTGGACCTGGAGGAAATCATGAGCGACCTCTCCTCCTACAACGACACTTACAGCAACGCCACCTTCCTGGACTACGACGCCGCCCCGTGCCACAACCGCTTCTGTCCCCTCTTCCAGCGCGTAGCCCCTCCTTTCCTGGCCACCACCAGCGCCACGGCCACGCTGGCCACCGTCGCCTTGCTGGTGGCCCTGTCCGAGCGTCCCCAAGCGTGGCGGTGGCCGCAGAGCCGCGCCTTGGTGGCGCAGCTGGCGCTGGGCACGGCGCTGTTCGCGGCGCTGCTGCCGGCGCTGGCCGCGGGCGTGGCGTGGGGTTGGCACCTGGGCACGGGGTTGTGTCGCCTCACTCACCTCCTGTGGCACTGGAGCGTCTTCGCCCAGGCTCTGCTGGTGGCCAGCGGTTCCCGTGGCACGGTTTGGGCTCGCTGGGACCCCCGCAGCCGCCGGCTGGCCGTGGTGCTGTGGGCAGCGGCGCTGCTTTTGGCCACTCCGGCCGCTCTGGTCAGCGGCGTGGCGGCGGGCACGGCCTGCATCCAGCGCAGCGTGGGCATCCTGGCACCGGCGTACCTGCTGCACCTCGCCCTGTGCCTCTGCCTGCTGCTGCTGCTGCCCGCGGGGCTGCTGCTGGCCGCGCTGGCCGTGCCGAGCTTCAGGGCGAGCTGGGCGAGCGGAGCCGGGCTGGCCTGGCTCTTCCTGGGGCTCTGGGGGCCCTACGGAGCGGGGCTGGCGGCGGAGTTCCTGCTGCAGGCCGGGCTGCTGGAGCCCACCTGCGGCTCCTTCGAGCATTTCGACCTGGCCCTGGGGCTGAGCGAGGGGCTGGGGGTGCTGCACTGCGGGCTCGGGCCGCTGGCGATGCTGCTCGCCCGCCGCTGCCGCCGCGGTGCCGGGGCTGCCGGGGGATGCTGAGCTCGGGGGGACGCTGAGCTCCGGGACTGCCGGGCTCCGGGGGATGCTGAGCTCCGGGGGATGCTGAGTCCCCGGGACTGCCGGGCTCCGGGGGATGCTGAGCTCGGGGGGATGCTGAGCTCCGGGACTGCCGGGCTCCGGGGGATGCTGAGCTCGGGGGCTGCTGAACCCCCGGGGCTGCCGGGGGATGCTGAGTTCGGGGGGATGCTGAGTTCCGGGACTGCCGAGCTCCGGGGCTGCTGAGCTCCGGGGGATACTGAGTTCAGGGATTCCTGACCTCCGGGACTGCTGAGCTCCCGGTGCTGCCGGGCTCCGGGACTGCCGAGCTCCGGGATTGCTGAATTCCGGGACTGCCGGACTCCGGGACTGCCGGACTCCGGGACTGCTGAGTCCCCGGGATTGCCGAACTTCGGGATTGCTGAGCTCCCGGTGCTGCCGAGCTCCCGGTGATACCGAGCTCCGGGATTGCCGAGCTCCCGCTGTATACTGAATGTGGGTGCTGCTGAGCTCCCGGGGCTGCTGAGCTCGGGGATTGCCGAGCTCCGGGGGATACTGAACTCCCGGTGCTGCTGAGCCCCCGGGGCTATCGGGCTCCGGGATTGCTGAGCTCGGGGGGCTTCTGAGCTCCGGGATTGTCGAGCTCCCGGTGCTGCCGGGCTCCGGGACTGCCGAGCTCCGGGACTGCTGAATTCCGGGACTGCCGAGCTCCGGGATTGCTGAATTCCGGGATTGCTGAATTCCGGGATTGCCGAGCTCCGGGATTGCCGGGCTCCGGGGGCTGCACCGCAGAACCAAACGGACCCACGGCACCGGACTTGGACACCCCGGCTGAGCCCCGACCCCCAGACTTGGACTCCTTGGCACCAGACTTGGACCCCTTGGCACCAGATTTAGACCCCGGGCACCAGACTTGGACTCCTTGGCACCAGACTTGGACCCCGGGCACCAGACTTGGACCCCTTGGCACCAGATTTGGACCCCGGGCACCAGACTTGGCACCCTGGATCCTGGCCCTGCCGCACCAGCCTGAGACACCCCAGCAACAATGCCTGTGCCCCCACCCCATCACTGCCCCCCAGCCTGGCCTGGACCACCCAGCACTGACCCCTGGGCACCTGGCACAAGCCTTGGCACCTGGGCACTGACCGCTGGCCCCACAGCCTCTGTCCCACAGCCAACACTCCCCCAGGACCCCCCGTTCTGTGCCCTCTGTCCCCTCCCTTGGGGTCTCAGCCCCCTCTTTGGGGCCAGACCCTCCAACTGCCCAACACAGACAGTGCTGGGCTACCTCAGGCTGCCTGGGGGGGTCACCCCAGACTCCTGGGGGATCCCCAAGGCTCAGTCCTGGACCCCTCCACACAGCTCCAGGGGGAGATTTTGGAAGTGATGGGATTTTTTTTCCAGTGGGAATTGCACACAATAAACACAAGCGCCAGAGGCACTCCCAGTTCATGGACTGGATGGGACTGGGAGGTGATGGCGGGGGGGACAGGAAAGTGGGGGGGTTCGTGCTCCTCGTGCTTCCAAATTGGCAGGAAAAGTTCCCAAGGAAGCTCTGCAGCCTGCCAGGGGGGAGTTGGGGGCATTTATACCCAGAGCCCACGAGGGCCGGGCGCGTGCGGTCACGGGTGTGACACGGGCACAGCAGTGGGGACAACGGGGCTGCTCTGCCTCAGCCAAGCCCTGGAGGAGCTGGGGCTTCATCTCCCCTAAACCGGGGGGGGCTGATCAGTGGGGAACGAGCCTACATTGTCCCCAAAATTTGGGATCCATCAAATCCCTGCAGGAAGTCTACACCCCCAGCCCAGACTCTGGCTCCTCTGCCATTTGGGGCAGGTAAAACCTTCCGCCTTCCCATCTGCCTGTCCCCTTGGGGACACTCCAGGACACTGGGCCACTCACGGCTCCATCTCTGTCCCCTCGGGAGAGGAGAGCCCGGGATGTGTCCCCGAGCTGTGGCTCGGAGCAGGGGGCCAGGGGAACCTTTCCCTGCACCCCTCGGATGATCCCAAATCAAACCACATCCCCCTGATGGGGTTTACCCACAGCGGGCACACCTGGGGAAGGCGTTTCCGGGGTGTCCCCACCCCACCTCCCGAGTAGACACACGGCTGGGGTGTCCCTGTCCCCTGGGAGTGGGGGGACACACCCAGAGCCAAGCTCCAAAGAGGAGCCCCGTGCAGGCAGGTGACCCCAGATCTTGTGGCCAGGCCGCGTGACGGCATGAAATCACCCACCCTGGGCATGAAATCGCCCTCTGGGGCACGCCAGGCTGCTGGGGATGGCATTGGGGACATCCCCCCCAGCAGTCCCCTCCCCTCTTTGGGTACATAAACCCGGCGGCAGCGCCGCGCCTGCCCGGCTCCAGCACCCACCATGGGCCACCTGCAGCTCTGGCTGCTCGTCCTGGCTGGGCTCACGGGGATGGCGGCCCAGGAAGGTACGGGGGGACACCGGGGTGGGGGGACAGAAGCCAGCACGGGGTAGGGCAGCTCCAGAGGGGGACGTGGCAGCAGCTCTGGGTCACTCTCGGTCAGCGGGGCTGGAGGATGCTGGAGCATGCTGGAGCAGGGGACAGTCAGAGAGGGTTGTGGGCCACCCCAGGCCCCCAGCCAGGTCCCCCCCTGTGTTGTCCCCAGACCTGTACCGAAAGGTGTTCGTGTTCCGGAAGGATCCCAGCGACGCCTTCGTGGCGCTGCGGGCGCGGCTGCAGCAACCCCTGCACAACTTCACCGTCTGCCTGCGCTCCTACACCGACCTCACGCGGCCCCACAGCCTCTTCTCCTACGCCACCAAAGCCCAGGACAACGAGATCCTCCTCTTCAAGCCCAAACCCGAGGAGTACCGCTTCTACGTGGGGGGAAAATTCGTCACCTTCCGCGTCCCCGAAGGCCGCAGGGACTGGGAGCACGTCTGCGCCAGCTGGGAATCCGCCACCGGCGTCGCCGAATTTTGGCTCAACGGGAAGCCCTGGCCGAGGAAGGGGCTGCAGAGGGGCTACACGGTGGGAGCCACGGCGTCCATCCTGCTGGGGCAGGAGCAGGACAGTTTCGGGGGTGGTTTTGACCTCTACAATTCCTTCTCGGGCGAGCTGACCGACGTCTACCTGTGGGACGCGGGGTTGTCGCCGGACAAGATGCGCGCGGCCTTCCTGTCCTTGCGCCTGCCACCAGCGCTGCTGGCCTGGAACAGCCTCAGCTACGAGGTGAAGGGAGATGTGGTGGTGAAACCCCGGCTCCGGGAGGCTCTGCAGGCCTGAGGGTTGTGGGGTTTGTGGTTGGGGTGGCCTGGGTGGCTGCTGTCCCCTCCTCATCCTCATCTCTCACACCCATCTCCGCAGCACGCAGCTTCAGCTCTACAACCCACCACGAGGAAGGTTCCCCAGCTGGGGATGTGTGGGACTCGGATTCGGTCAAAGAGAGAACGGAGAGTTTCTAGCCAGGCAGAAGCCTGGGAAAGAGCTGGGGAAGAATGTAAATAATTCTTGATCTCTCTTGTTGTTCACATTGTTTATAGTTAAGTTCTATCACTGTGCGTCAAGCACTTTGCGCCAATGCTGTGGGTTGTTTTCACTTCAGAACCAATGGATTTGATCCTTGCGAAGCTCTGTATAAAAGCGCGGTGTATTTTGAATAAACTGGAGTTTTACTCTCAGCAGCCTTCTGGTCAGTCCTGCCTCGACAGCGACAGGGATGGGGTCCCCCCTGAGTGTTGGTGGCACCCAATTCCCCTTCCCACACCCCCTGAGCTGTCCCATGCATGGGCAGGACACAGATCCAGCGGCTCCAGCACTGCCCAGCCCCACGTGGAGTCAGGAACGGGAAGAGCCTTCCCTTGGGGACAGGGGGATTGTCCCCAAAACCAGTCCCTGCACTCACCGGGCTGTCACCACGAAAGTCACTGTCACTGAGCAGCTCCGGGTGGCTCCGAGGTCCTCCCTTCTTTACGGTGGTGGCAGTGGCCATGGGGCTGCTGCGGCTCTGCCTCCTCATCCTCGCTGCAATCTCTGCTCCCACAAGGTTGGAAATCGGGATCCCCACGTGGGACATGGGGATAGGGAGGTTCAGCCCCATGTCTGTGAGTGGGTTTAGCCCCATGTCCTGGAGGGTTCCGACCCAGAGCTCTGGGGGTGCAGTCCTGGAGCTCTTGGGGGGTTCAGCCCCATGTCCTGGGGGATTCAGATGCAAAGGTCTGGGGGTTCAGTCCTGCAGCTCTTGAGGGGTTCAGCCCCATATCCTGGGGGATTCAG